TAGCAGTAGCAGCAGCTCTGTAGCAGCTGTAGCAGCAGTCTCAAGTCTCAACATGAACCGGGACCCGCGCAGCGCTGGAATCTTCCCCTCTATTATTAAAGCCCATTTCCCCCCACTAGTAAGTGACCAATCCCACAGTAATAGTATATCGAATATTGTAATTATAATTGTAATGATTGTAATGATGACTAATAAATATACTTTGCTAGCCGCTAGACCGCTAGACCATAAGTGGAGCATTGGGGGGAGGGGGTTTTCATATTAGCGGGGGATGAGTAGTAACTGAGTAGTACTTACTTAGCAAACTACAGTACAGACCCAATGTGTAAACCTGCTGAATTTGTGGCTTCTAATGTCTTGCGTCTGATGTGTGATTGCAGGTGCTACGTTGCCTTCCTGCGCAAAGACCTCTACAGTCGTGCGGATGCTGCGCGTTATGTGGAAATCCAGCAGGCTGGCGGCTAGCTGCTAGCTAGGGCTAGGACCTCGTGCGTTCTTCTCAAGCGCGTTGCCAGGGTAGCGGGTAGCAGCATACTTGCGTGAAGTGTCAGGTATCCGACGCAGTGTAGTCTAGTGTAGTCTAGTCGAGTCTAGTGTAGTGTAGTGAGTGTAGTGTAACGTAGGCGCAGGCATAGTCATAGTCCCAGCCAAGTCGCGTGTTTAGGATGAAGAACGTGTCTACGTTTCAGTCATGTGAGGTCAGCGCCCCGTGTTGCAACAATCATTAGACTCAATAGACATGTATTCAAGACCATGTACCCCGCCATGCATTACATGGGGTCCTTCCTAAGCTCTGTCCAGAAGGAATCTCTCTGTGGTCCCCGTCTTACTTGCAGCTTGAAGACTAGCTGTAGCTGCACTGCGCTGTAGGTTAACCGGCTTAATCCTGCACCTACCCTGGCTGTGAGTGCTGTAGGACCAACGTCCAAGTAGTCATAGTCTCCAAGCTTTCGGCGCTAGACTAGACTAGTAACTAGCGGACTAGCGGTGACTAGCGGCTACCAGCGTAGACATGAAAGAGCTGAGACGCTCTGGCCAATGTGCTGCC